AGTAAGCCCCACTTGTGACAGTGGCTAGCACTCCTTAAAATTAATTAGAGATAAAACTGAGTCAGGATTAGTCCTATCTCAATTTTGGGTGAGTTGCTACCATTCACCACTATTACACGACACAATCATGTTTCCAGAGTGACAGAGAAAATTGGGGAAAAGAAAAAAAAAAACTGGAATCGATCTTCAAGTTGACTCCTCCATGAGGTTCACAGGTTTTACCACACGCCCCCACAAAGATATTATCGGACTAATGTTTTTCTTTTCTTTTCTTTTCCCCTTTATTTTATTTTATTTTATTTATTAATTTTTGGTTAGCTACTTATCACATAGCTTTTAATAGCACTTAGATCTACTAATACTCAAATAAAATTATCTCCGCGTTATCCGTACCAGCTATGCTGGCATCACATGATGCTTGCCGTATTGTGAAGGGATCTTTTTGATATTTCAATGTGTTGCCAAGGAGCCCCCTATTCTCTTATAGGGGCTGAATACATTTTCCCCATTAAAGTGATGCAATATAATTGAGAGCCAGACTCCCTTCGAGCATCAGGAGGGTTTACTCAGTAATAAAAAAAAGTTCAGGGGCAATAAGTGAGTTATCCCTAACACTACATGGGACGTAGCTCCAACCAACAATTCAAAATATTGCCACCAACCACCACCGAAACATTCAGTATACATCCAGATTTTGATGTCACAAATATAGAAATACATACATCTAAGTTTTCAATGTTACAAACATATAAACACCTCGAAGCAGAATGAAGACACCGACGACTTGATAAGAGAACATTAATTTTCTGATCCTGCTGTTCTATTTCCCATTTTGAGTCTCATTTTGCATCGAGCTCTCGTCGTCAATATCAGCAGGACAAACTAGCTGATGATGTAGGGGATGATCATAGAACTCTCAACTCAAGATCAGGATAGCCAGCTCTGGCTTTGTACTTCTCAAAGAGCTCTTGGAGCGCCGCAACAAACTGTGCATGTACTTCATTGATCTGACCAAATCACAAAGTAGAACTATATTTTCAGATATAGTTTACAAACATGAGGCTCTTAAAGTTCTATTTGTTCTGCTGATAAATAAATGGGGCATAGTTGAAAGCCCCAACTAAGAAAAGTTGGCCTAGCTCGTTCTTCGCGTAATCAAATTGGACTTGGAATTAAGAGTGTGCGCCTGAATCATGTATATACTACATTGATAGGTTACTCCGCGTATATTGCTGAAATATATTTGACCCTTATGCTTTCTCCCGTCTTCATAGCATTTCACGCATAAAAGAATGCTTGATTACACAGTTTATATTGATTAAATTGGAGCCAATGTGTCCCTCCATTGCATTCGCCGATGTTCTGTTGACAAGGCACAAATCCATAGATATTGCAATCTAGATCATCAATAGATCATAGTTGGTGACTTGGATGTGTCATAAATGTCAAGTCAGCAACACACCAACACACCAGCTAATACTCTGGAGGGGTACACCACGCCTTGTCTACTCTTTTTATATTGACTACTACTTTTATCATATTTGCTAATCCAATCATATAAGACCCGATATTCCTTTCTTTCTGTTAGTTACATTCTTACAAGTTTTTGTTGGGCGCAGAGTCACGCCCTCACGCCGCGGAAGCGATATCACCTGAGAGATAGCCCTGCCTTTTGTTGTCACAAAAGCACAAGTCAACCTCTATATTCTTGTTTCCTTCCCAAAGGAAACTAGAATAGATAGTGAAATTCTTATTTCTTAAAGGAAACAAGAATCGAGAGTGATATATTTTATCAAAATGAAATATACACTCTTCCTCTCATTAGTTCTAGGACTAAAATGTCGAAGGAACCTACAAGCTATGGCAACTCATAGATAAGACAAATACAAACACAAGATTTACGTGGTTCGGCTAACTAGCCTACGTCCACGGGAGGGGGTTTCACTATGAAGGAAAAATACCAAACTTATACAAGTTCTCTCTTCCTCTCTTTCTTTTCTCTCAAAACTCCACTTGAGATTTTTCCCCACACACCTAAAACTCCTCCACCTCTTCTCTATTTATAGGAAACCAAGGGGGCAGATCCGAAATGAATTAGGCGGGCGGAACGCGCGGGAAAGAAATCGCGTGGCAGGAAAAAAATAACGGCGGGAGAAATTCCCGCGCTCGGGCTGGCGAGGCGAGGGTTGGTAGGCAGCGCACGAAAGCTCGTGCTGTCCTTGCGTGCACGGCACGAATCCGAGCCCCATGATCTCGTCGTGGCCGCACAAGGGAGAAACGGTGCGCGTGGGAG